GTGTGCATCCTTGCCTGTACAGCTGGTCTGACTCAGCTCTGAAGATGCCATGCAGCTGTTCCTCTGGAGCTATACCTGTGGGCAAGCAGCAGCAGAGTCCAACATCTATGTACAACTTCCTGATCTCCAGAGTTCATTTTGTCCCTACCCTGTCATGTTTAATCATCAAGCATTAAGCTTTTTTCTTACTGGATATTCATGTGCATATGTTCAGAGCTTACAAGGCCAATCTACTATTGTTCCAGTTTTCCTATTGATGTTTTTCTTTCTAATCAGAGCCCAGGGACTTGCTACAAGCTCCAGTCTTTCAAAACTGATTACTTCTTTGCTGGGTCCCTGTTTACGTTACTGCAGTTCTCTAAGGCTGGGTTCAACTGGTGCAAAATGACTTTGCCTTTTCTGAGAAGGGCAGGATTTGTCCTGAGTACTGTGGAGCTCTGGCAAGTCAAGGCAAATGAGAAATGCCCCTTAGGACATCTCTGCTGTTGCTTGGCCATAAGGGCAAAGTGGCAAGGAGTGGCAGCGTCCTCTTGAAGCTCAGGGAAGTATGCTTGGGAAACTAAAATGTCTCACTACATCTCCAATAAGCCCATCTTTCTGGGAAGGCAGGGAACCAAACCAAACCAAGCCAAGCTAAACCAAACCATTATCAAAGGAAATTTTGAGAAAAACAAATGCATCTCCAATGCTGCTGGATCTACAGTTCCAAAGTAAAGCAATAATCTCCACAGAAGAAATGAAGCTAACCTAAGGTTCAGTTGGATAATGACAAAATATTTCTAATGCTAGAAGGTTCCAAAATGTGTAAGGGAAGCAACATTTGCATAGCTCGTGTGTGGAAAGAAAAAAACTCATGGCAAATGATCCTTGTGAGGAAGAGCAGCAGAGTCCAGTTGAGTTTCATGTCAGTAGGGGATGGTCCTAACAGCATTCCAGACTGAAATCCAAATGGCTCAGACATAAGTGGAAATAAATGAGATGCTGGAATCCCAGTGGGTCATGCAGCAATCTCAAGTGGCAGCCGATCTTCCAATTTCCCTAAGGTTTACCTACCAATCTTGTCCCTTCCAGGAATAAATCCTGTTGCTCATTTTTGTGCAGCTCACTTTCAGATATACATGCACACAGAGTATAATAATATGAACATTTATACAAACCATGACTTTTGTTTTAGGAAGATTCCTATCAAAAGGGAAGAAGAGATGAAACATCAGAGGAAGATCATTGCTGTGGTGAGTGGCTGGGAATTCTTGGGCAGGCATGACAAACAATATAAGTTCCCTTTGCCTTTCAAAAGAACCTTGAGATAGCTCTGTTAGATAGATTATTCCACAGTCTTTGTAGTTGTAAGGGTTGCTTTTCTAAAGAGGTAAGAGAAGTCAAAAGAAATTAACAGCCAAGATAAGAACCATCGGTCTGATATAAATAAAGTTATAAAGCTTACAATATATCACAATCTGCAACAGATAAAGGAGTGAACCCAAAGGAGGGTTCAAGAGGAAGCTGATATTGGGAGTATCTACACCCTCAGTTCTCTTTTTAAGAAGGCAGTTGAGCCACAGTTTGCAATTGTTGCAGCTGAAGCGGGTATCACTGTTGGAGCTGAGGATGAGGACATCACCCGCCTGCTGCACTGCAATTCCTCCTGTTCTGTGTCTCCAATGTGTTTCCACAAGCCTACGTGCATGTCCTTGTATGACCATGTCCTTATCACATAAGTAACATCACAGTGCCAGTAAGAACTAACTATAGAACTCTCCCTTGCCACTCTGCTGCTTTCCTGTACCTCCCAGGACCTTCCTGTATCCTAACCCCAGATACAGCTACATCCCTACTTGTCTGATTGTCATGCATGTTTTAGGAGCTAAGCTTTGCATTCCAAGTAAAGAGCCAGGCATCAAAAAATATTATTGCTACTGGAGCCAATTTTGTTGCTGAAATTTTCCATGGGAGCTGGGTCTCACAACGCAGCATCAGCAAAAAGATTCTGAAATGTCTGCATCCATTCTCTCACTTCTATAAAATTTTAGCTCCTCACTATTCTACATGCATTTTCAACCCATCCAGCAAAATCAGGGTTGAGTGCAGTGGTATAACTTTTTTCTACTTGGTTTTGTTTTCTTCCATGAAGATATTACATCTTTTGTAATCTCTTTCCTGATATACAACTTCCGCAGTACATCTAAGTAAGCGCACACTTCCAAACTCCTCAGATCTGCTATTTTCTGGATTGTTTATTTTCTATATATTTTGGTCATGAGCTTTGGGACTGTTGAATGTTTTCAGTGAACAAATGATGCCTTTTCTTTTTTTGGAACAGACAATTTATTTGCAATAAAAGTGTGAGATACAGTAGAATACAAGGGGGAACCAGAAAATCATGTATTATTTCATGGTGTATTCTTCAGTAGATTATTCCAAACATAACACATGGAAAGTTTAAGTCCTATAACATTAGTTCTGATATGATGGTGACTAAACATTTTCACATTAAGCAATGTTGTGGAAAAATCATCAAACATAGTTTGCTCTACCTCGCTTGTCCTAAATTACGAAGACTGCATCAGCATGATTTAAATTGTATAACTAACCATGTAACAAATAATTCAGTCTGTATTTGCATCATGTCTATTTGTAAGTCCTTGAGAAACTCAAATACGCACAGGTTGATTTGAGAGTCAGAATGTGTGGCATCCACATCTCTCACCTTGGACAGAAAGGTTCATAACATAAATTCTCACATATTTTCTTTAGGTTATAAATAGTGGATGGTATGTTACATCCTGCATGTGTTACACGGACTTAAACTAAAATGTTGCAGATTTCAGATGCAACTGCTTTTAGCTAGCATTAGAAAGGTGAAAGCCCTATCTGAAGGCTATTTGTCTTTTTAGGTATCTACCATGCCCAATAATTAATAATTAAAGCACATTTTGAAAAACTCATGTGCAAATACATGTGACAAGCCTAAATGCTGCATATGAGAAGAGCCTTGCTTCTGCTTCCGCTGAATGAAAAAACTCCCATATACTTCAACATGAGAAGGGTTTTTTCTTTCTTTCTTTTTCTTTTTTAGTGAAGATTTGGCTGACAAACTCCTCAGGATTTAGGCAACCTGAAAGGTATTTGTGTGCCTCAGTGTAACCACCTTCAGCTTTCATCCTTTCTTTTCTGAAGTCTGGGGATTAAATATTCTGAATATGCTCGTTAGTGTGCAAATGCAGTGTTGGAAACACCTGTGCCATCATGGAGGGGTATGAGACTCATTCACAATTTTTTCCAGAATAATGGTGAAACACCTGTCAAGCTTACTGTGATTTATATCCACCAACATTAACCAATACATATGCTAAGTGTTCATAACCCATATGAAGGTGATGCCAGCCTATTATTTAACAAAGTGTTAAATAATTGTTTTTATAATGATGCCACTGCAAAGCAACTTAGAGAAGCACATACCCTTGAAGTTTAAAGCCCAGTCCTAAGGGGTGCTGAGGTGTGATGTTACTTGAATATACCTTGAACACCACAAATGGTGATCTCCCGTTGTGGGGTACGATGGGCTTTGGTGGTAGTTACACCTAAGGATTTACTTTAGGGTGAGTCATAAACCTCAAGTTGAATACAAAATCTCCTTCCATAATTTTCTATCTTGCTTAAAAGTGCTTACTTGGGAAAAACTACAATGAAGTGCATTAGAAGAGCCATCAGCTCCCCAAAAAGCTCAGCATCATTTTCTTTGCAGCTAATGACAAACTTCTCCACAAGTTTGATTCCATGGAAGCAGGAGCAAACCTAACAGTTCTCACTTTCCTAAATTGGCCAATGCATGACAGCATCCTTTATCAGCTAATGGTCTCTTTACTTTAGCTTCTCTTCTTTCTCTCAATCTTTTCAGGATCCTCAGCATCTTATCTCCAATACTCTTGTTGAGTAAGGAGTTCTTGTGAGTAGGTTTGGTTCTTGGTGTTTGCCACAATTCATTAGTAAACTGTGTTTCAAGGAAAAAAATTTCCTAATTGAGTTGGCCAGTACCATGCTCATGCTATGCTCACCTCTGCAAGAATCAGATGATGTGAAGAAAACAAATATTACGCAATTTGTGTAAAGGACCCTTAAGCATAAAGCAAATCACAGCTTCTTATTGAAATAATACAGCACCATGCAAAATCTGCATATTGTGAGTTTCTAAGGAGTACTTTTAAATACAAGAATGCAAAAATTTTAACAATCTGCTAGTGCTATGAATATAACGCTCTTCATTTTACCTGCTTAAGCCATGAAAAAGGTTTAATCAAAATGTCCCTTTAACAAACACAGTGTTTGAAGAAAAAAAAAGCCAGGACAACTGTCTAGAGAAAAAAACAACAAACAAAAACCACACAGAACAGACAAACAAACAAACAAAAAACCCACTATTTTTACTCTTTGTGATTGAATCTATATAGGATGATACTTACCCATTTGAAAAAGGCAGACAGGAATCCAAACGCTACATCTATGTTGCCCATCCCCTGGAGACTCAGTTCCTGCTGTGGCTTAACTCTTATCTGTGATCCTTGGCTCTTGCTTGGCTCTTATCTCTGATTTGATACAGCAGGTCAAATACCATCAGGTCCCTAGCCATGTTCCTGCCCTTGAACCATGATGCTGTCCTAAGGATGTAAGCTAGGGATAACCATCAGCTGTTTTACCATATTCTGCAAGTACATGGCAGAAGTACGTCTGGCCAGGAGCAGGGCTGTCACTGGGTCACCCCAGGAAGCCCATGTGTGCCATGTGCTGTGCCTGCACAGCAGAGGCAGGAGCAGAGCCCAAATGCAAATGGTGGAAGAATCACAACTCTAGTGCTCGATGCAGTTAGCTTGTGCCACTCTCTAACAGAGTTTTTAAGGCAAGAAAAGTATGATAGTAGGAGAATGAGTACAGCAGGACATGCTGGAGCTATATAGAGCTGTGAGTTGGAATAGCAGAATTGTCCTTGGATCACAGTGCACAGATTTCAGTTTAGCAGTGGTTTATTATCTCACTAGAAGCATCTAATTCCCTGCAATAAAGATTGCATGTAGAGCACGACAAAGAGGATACAAGTCTATTACAGCCCACAGCCAGGACAAATGCTTTTTTTCCCTCTTATTCTTAAGTAGGCAGGAATAGCTTTTCAATTTCAAAATAAAAACGACACAATTACAGTAATAATATAATGCTTCTGACTGGCAGCTGCATGTTGTAAACCCCAAAGCCACTGATCAGAAGCAAAAGCAGTAAGTAAAAGCTTTATAGAAATGTTCTGGTGAGATGATTATGTCTATTACAATACTTCTATGGGGGAAAGCCTGATTACTGATTTCATGTCCCTTTCCCTCAAAAACCCTTCAAGTGTTTGCATCTTTTCCTAACAACAAATAAAGCGGCCTTTACTGGAGATATAATTAAGACTAGATGAGCTGTGGAACAAGAGAGGATCCTGTTCAACTAGTTAGGCATTAGTTACAACAGAAAGGCAGAAGCAGTCATGTTTTTATCCTCTGTTATAAAAAATGCTTCTCAATCAGTGTTTCAATACAGTTAAAATTTAAAAACTCTCTATATTACTAATAAATTAAAAACCCCAAATCTCTGACCATCCTGTAAGAAAGTAGGTAAGTAATTTAAACTTTTAGTTTACATAAATTCGCACAGAAATCTGTATTTAAACAAGTGCACTGAAAACAGATATGCCTTTCTTTCTTCTGATAGGTCTTATTCGAGTTATTATGTAACAGGAAAGCCTTAATATTCTTTGCATGACCTTGAGAGTCTGCTAACAAGAAATGGTCAATAGTCAAACCCCAGGAGAATGTTTCACCAGATAGACAATGTCAGAAGTGAGCATGAAGTACAGTTAAACACTTTGTAGTCTTATTACGGTAGACTTCAACATTCAATTTCAGCATATTTACTTCTGGGAAGAGGTGAAGGCAATACATTTATACAGAAAATCATATGAGTGAAATTTGATGGGTTCATCGAATTTTTTCTTCAGCCTATTAAAAGATAATTTATTTCAGAGGTAGTTTGCAAGGTAGTAGTGACATACGTGAGTGGAAACAGTACTCCTTCGCTTGACTTTGGATAAAACACTTAAATACAGTTGGTGCTGTCCCTGAACCTCACAGAGAACTCTTAATGGATAAGATGTTCTAATCAAAGCTGACAACAGTCAATTAAGTGTCAGAAGAACAATCTGATAAGTAGGTCTTCATGTCTATAGGCATTTCCTGATACGTCTTATCTGTCAATCTGAATGTTAAACATCTCTATCTTCGTCTTATTATTGACTGATTTATTAAAGAATGCTTTCATCTCTTTTTGACTTTGGGGTTGTTCTGGAAAGAAAGGAAGGAAAATAGTAGGAACAACTCCAAATTTGGAATAATTCATGGGGAATCATAATTATAATGAAGTTCTAATATTCCAGCTGAGCAGATGTATGGTTTGCTGATGCTACTACCACACAGCTGCCTTCACCATACCTTTTAAGAAATGGTAGATGCTCAGTTTAGAGGAGATCTGTTTCTTTAATAGGTGGAAGGATATCTGTGGACTCGCTGGCAGGCTGCTCTCTGCTTTCAGTGCTCCTTGCTAGTCATACAGAAGACAGAACCTCACTTGATGGATCTCTTCCCTTCTTGTCCTCACTCCTGTCAATATCAATCACATGGACAACGCCAGGCTTCAAGATCAGGTCGTCGGTCTCTACATGGCTCCTGGTGTCATCCACTTCTATGTATTTCCCTTTGGACGGCTGGGCAGCTTTACTGAAGACATCTTTAAAACGGCGCTTGAGCTCCACATCTGGGCAATAGACATACTCATACAGAGCACCAGCAAGGACTGCCCCTATTATTGGTCCCACCCAGTAAACCTACAAAGAGAGGTGGAAAAAAACATTAGCATTAGGTTCCAGAGCAAATAAAGAAGCCACAATCTCAGAGAAAAGCATGTCACTGCAGACTTCATTCAGAAAACTTTCTGAAAATGAAAAATGTCCTGGCCCAATCATTTAAACCAACTCTGTTTTCCAGAAATGCTTGGTCACACAGTTCATTGGATTTCATGAACTGGGATAAAATCTGACATTGTATCAGTTTACAAGGCAGAGAAGTCTAACTACCCAAGGTTTCACAGAAGGTGACGTAGAGTTCAGCGGTGAAGTGAATTCTCTAAACTGAGGCATGAAACTGGTCAAAAGGCAGTCTCTTAGGCAGTTAATGGCATTCGTTCCATGCATTTTTTCCTACCTCTATGCTTTCTCTCAGTCTCCCACCTCTCACATGCCTTTTGTCCACTTCAGAAATACTCTCTATTCACCTTGAATGTCATCACCTAAACCACCTCACATCGTGTGGGTGCAGATCTTCCCTAAAAATTCCTCTCATGCCAGCACCGAGAGAATCACCAGAGCATGTACCATATGAAGCAGAGGAGAAGAGGGAACTATGGTGATGTATCAGTGAGGTAGGGATGCTGTTTCCTTGATGTCTGAGAAAGATCTCATTCTACATATCTAGTTTGCAACCTCCTGGAGTGGACAGGTTGAATAGCTTGTTGGGTTCTGCAACTTATTAACTATACCCAACAAAACTGAAGTTCAAGTTCTTCATCATCTTTAGTTGGATTAATCATAGATACAACATTTCTTGAGAAAAAAAGGCCACAGATCTTTGTGGGGTTGGGTATGACTTGTGAAATACTACTCTGTAGTTATGTACAACACACAGTTGCTCTGGCACAGTCTTTTTCTAGACTACCAAGAGTAAGGTGGTTGAGAAGCAGCCCCATATCCTCAAAGGAAAATGGGTTTGTCAACTTCAAACCTCTTTCCAAGAAGCCTTCTCTAAATTTTCATTGTTTATTTACCAGCTGTAGATAACATACTTGTGCTGTTTGCAAGATGCCACACAAAATAAATACCAGTGTAGAAAACTGATCTTTCTGCATTTTCACTCCAAAATGATTATAAGATTGTAAGGAAGCAATGCCTATCCTACTGTATACATACAAGCAGTTCTACTTCAGTATTTCAGACTCACATTTCCAAAGAGGCCAAATTTGACTCTTGATCCAGAAGACTTCGACAGGCAAGCAGCTATCTTATTATCTGATCTGATAAACAAATACGACTGACACGCACAACTTTGGAGCGTACCTATCTATTTTAGTATGACATGCAGCAGTTCTGTAATATTAGTAAGTGCAAAGGCCTCTCATGCTAATGTTACTGCTTTGAAGGAGGAAAAAAAGGCCTGATTCCCAAATGACCAGCAGAGAAAGCTAAGCTTCTCCTAAAACTTTCTACATAGTAAATTTGTTTATTGTTTACAGCTTTAGTCGCAAATTACAGGCTCCCTCAGAGTATGGATAATTAATCTTGTGAAAAACTACAGCAGATTTTTCATAGGAACAAGCCACTCACTGATAACTGGGTAAATCTGCCTCAATAGGATAACTCTTGGGAACAAAATTACACATGGTATCGTGTTTGCAGAATTGGAGCCTCAGGGACTGAAAACAATGCTATTTCTGTTATTAGCTTCAGTGGGAGCAATGTGGGCTCCATACTTTAAAAATCAAGAAAATCCTTATATGTTCTGCAATACTCAGCTCCCACAGTTAGTACTAAAAGCATCCCTGGAAGTGCTTTCCCTGTGTTTAATTAGGTGAGGCTGAGCTGTGATCCATCTCTCCCTATAAAATGTTCATAAGTTTAGTAGTGGGATGCTACAGAAAGTGCAACACTCATAGTGTGTTTATTAAATTGTTTCCTGCACAAACACTCCTGGTTAAGCCAATCTGCTTTCTAATCAAAGCAGATAACATCCAGTTCAGCTCATAAAGACCAAGTTGCAACCCCTTCATCTCTCGCTGTGGGCATTTGCTATGGCAGGTTCTCCCTCTGGAACACAGAGGAGTCCCTGCTCTCATATTGTGTCTGCCCCAATTTGCCGTAGAACCAGGTGAAATGTGAAGCCAACAGAATTACTTTCATAACTTGTCACAAGCATGACCTGAGGGTTTGCAATCTGCCTTGGAGGACTTTTTCTGTCTTACAGTTCAATCCTTCCCATCCTACTGGACTGTTTTGTTGTTGTTTTTTGTTTGTTTGTTTTGCTTTTTTGGTACAATGTTCTTCTACCCCAGTTACTCCCTCCACAAAATGGCCCCCAAGTAGCTAGATGCTATCCTAGCATGATGCCTACCGCACTGCAGTCCTAGATGTGAACCAGGATTGTACTACAGTGGGTGGCAGGTCAGCACCTGTCTTCCCAGTGATGGTCTTGACGGGATGTGTAAAAAATTGAGTGCTTTATGAAAAAATGTGATGGACGTTTGCTGCTAGGAGGAAGGAAGCATGAAAACAGAGTTACCCATTGGTTTTCCCATTTTCCCATGATGACAGCAGGTCCAAATGAGCGAGCAGGGTTCATACTGGCACCAGTGTAATTGATCTAAAATACGACAAAATGTTGCATGTTATTAGAACCTCAAGGGTAGTGATTCAGTGTCTTTCAGTCCTTTTATTATGGGAAAATCTGGTATTGCATAGTGTCTAATCCTAACAATGGGTATTATTACTCTCCAGAGTCTAATTACAAAATTAACAAAGCTATCACATGAACAGGCAGAAAATCTCATATTTAGCACCCTACACAAGGGTGTTCAAACTGTTTTTGACATGGATCCATACAAAATATGAATAACATGTTTTGGGCCCCTCACTACAAGAAAGACACTGAGGTTCTGGAATGTGTTTGGAGAAAGGCAACAAAGCTGTGAGGAGTCTGGAGCACAGATCTTATGGGGAACAGCAGAGGGAACTGGAATTGTTCAGTCTGGAGAAGAGGAGGCTCAGGGGAGACCTTGTTGCTTTCTACAACAGCCTGAAAGGAAGTTGTAGTACAGTTGCAGTTGAGTTCTTCTCCTAGGTAACAGTGATAGGACAAGAGAGAATGGCCTCAAGGTGCCTCAGGGGAAGTTCAAGTTGGATATTAGGAAACATTTCTTCTCCAAAAGAGTGGTGATGCATTGGAATGGGCTGCCCAGGGAGGTGGTGGAGTCACCGTTTATGGAGGTGTACAAGAAGCTTTTAGACACTGTACTAAGGAACAAGGTTTAGTGAGAAATACTGGTGGTTGGTGGCCAGTTGGATTGGATGATCTTGGAGGTATTTTTCAATCTTGGTGATTCTAGGCTTTTATGATTCTATGATACAGCAGCTATACAGTTATAGCAGCTATAAAGTCTACAGAAGTTTCCGTTTGCTTCTGAAGTAAGCATAAAGGGATAAAAGCTCTATTTTTCGAAAAGAAGGCATTAACTTACAGCAAATAAATGTCCAATCGCAACAGAAAATCCAATTGCTAAAGCTACTGAACCAGTGACATCACTTCGTTTTGAATCACAGCTGGCAAAAATCGTAAAAACCAGCTGGAATGTAATTATCAGCTCCACCAGGAGTCCATGGCCAGCGGAAAGATCCCCATGTACCTGGAGGAAGGGAACACAGGAGATGAAGCAAAGGTGATTTTGTCAATCAGAAGGACACCACCTACATTAATTACACTTCAGTGAATGGTATTTCGAAGTGATACGTAGTGAAAGACAACAACGAACTCTTAGAGGCACACATTTCCAACCCTCTCCTCCCCTTCCTTTTCTTTTTTTTTTTAATTTGAGAGCCATGGAAAATTACTGCTGGACTGACAACAGACGGCTTGCCAGTAACACCCAATGGGAAATTCAAAGTTAGACTGCAAAAGTATCCTTTATTTTTACACAGAGATTTGCAAAGGCTGCACTTCCCCTTCACTGTTTTTTTTTTTTCTTTTTTTTTTTTTTTTCCTTGGGAGTGCTGTAATTTACTATTCAATTATAAATTCATTAATTAGCCCTGACTTAATTAATTTAAATTTCAATTAAAATTTAAGCAGTGCACAGCTCAAGTGCATTTTTAATAAGTCCTGCAACAGGGCTAACTGATGGCATTTCTTATTAGTTTAGAACAAAGCTGAAATCTCAGTCACAATCTATTTCAAAAGTATGTCATTTTAAATTGATGTTTTTTCAATCCTCATCATAACGGCAGAGAATTAATTTCCCCTCCCCAGTCCATAAGAAAATGGCATTTCATGCATATATTATTTAAATTCTGCATGTAAATTAACATTACCTGCTGTCATCAGATTTAGGGAAGTTCTAGAAAAGTATACTTCTATAAAAAGAATAGCTTAGATATAGTGTTGCATAAAGCCATCCTGGGGAGAGCTTTAAACCCTTTCTGGATGTTGTAAATAAACCAGCAAGCTTCTAAAATCTCTACTCGAGCTCTCTTTATTCTGTGTGACGCTGCTTCTATGTTCTTAGGCTCTGAGTTACTCTACTGCACGCGCTGGAGCAGAAGTGATTACCGCAGTGACTCCCAGGCCTCCCACCACACTCGGTGGTGTGATGAGGTAGAGGATGCCAGCTCCCACGATGGCTCCCAGGCACTGGGCAAGAATGTAGAAGACCGACTTGGCAAGGCTGATCTTTCTCGTGCAGACCATGGCCACGGTCACCGCAGGGTTGATGTGACCACCACTGATGTGTCCAAAGCACTGCACCATGGTTGCAATGCTGAGTCCAAAGCAGAGAGAGATAAGAACCATGTCTACGGGCAGTGGCTTCTCTGATCCACCCCAGTTGATTGTAGAGCCGAGGCTGAGAAGGACAAAAATCAACATGGCCAAAAATTCTGCAGAAACGGCTTTCCAGAAGGGCTGAGTCCAGACTCCTTTGAATGCTACCATGATGCTCTCACACTTGCACAGTCGTCCACACTTACTGAAAAGGAAAACAAATCTTCATCAGAAATCACCAAATAAGCCTAATTCTCACCTGTAAGAGGGTTGATATTTGGAAAGCTTGGAGGGGAAGCTCAAAGCAGAGTACCCTTAGAAGGGAACAACAATGAACACATGCACTGTCCTTAAAACATTGCTGGAGTTCAACAGTCTGCAGGATGTGGAGCAATCAGTCATCCCCTGTGATAAGTCTGTTCCTGTACCTTTGGTTCATGCAAAACAGACCCTTTATTTTTTCTTATATAAGCATGAAAATACATGCATTCTTCTGTCCTAGGTGACCTCTGCCTAACTAGGAGCCCTACCACTTTCAATGGCCTGTTAACCATCATGCCCATTAAATTGGTGGATATCCTCTTTCACTGATCAAATGTGAACTTTTCACAAGGTAGGTGCAATAGTTCAGTAAAAAGCAATATTACAGAATCACAGAATGTCTTGGGTTGGAAGAGACCTTGAAACCCACCCAGTCCCACCCTGTGCCATGGGCAGGGCTGCCACCCAGCAGCTCAGCTGCCCAGGGCCCCATCCAAGCTTGAGTCCTCCAGGGATGGGGCACCACAGCTTCTCTGGGCTGCTGTGCCGGCGTCTCACTACCCTCTAAGTAATGATTTTTTCCTGATATCTAACCTAAATTGTCTAAATTTAGTTTAAAGCAGTTACCCTGTTTCCTATTACTATCAGGAAAAAAAAGTTGGTTCCCCTCCTGCTTGTAAGCTCCCTTCACATACTGAAAACTGCAAGGAGGTCTCCCCAAAGCCTTCTCTTCTCCAAGCTTATCAAGCCCAAGTCATAGTCAAACAAGCATAAGCCCATACTGTAGCCAAAACCTAATTCATTTTTACAATAGAATAGTGATGGAAGGTTGCCTAGGGATCTATAAGAGGAAGTTTATTTTTCTGAACACTCACACAAACAAATATTTCAATTTGTATTTATTCAGAGTGCAGTTTCTCCTTTCTGGATAAGATTGAATCCAGCCAGGAGAATGGATGCAGTCCTAAATTCTGACTTCTACATCAACCATGCAGTCAATAAAGACTTTTCTGTTAGGCTAAGCGTGCAGAACAAGTAGTAGAACAGAACAACATTTTCTGCACATTTGGTGTGTACAAGTATGTGTGGCAAAGAAAGAAGTGTCTTGGATTTTCCACTGTCTGGAAATGCTATTTATTAGTCTGCACACCCTTCATGATGAGTTACAATCTTGCTAGATGCTCAAATACCTATGAAAGTGGGTCACCAAAGAAAAGTTATTTGTGGTATTAATAAATTAGGAGAATGAGCCAAAAGGGAAGCATTTTAATTAGTTTCTAAGGAATGCTAACAAGATTCTTCTTTAAAAACAAAAGCAAATAAAACCTCAAGCCCCTCCAAAAACAAACAAACAAACCAACAAAACAAAACAACAACAACAAAACCAGAACAGAAAACAAAAGAAAGAATACAGCTGCTTTGGGAACAGAATTTCAAGTGGAAGATGGATGAATTTATGTTCAGTTATCTAAGGTAACCAAGCCACAATGCATATTTAATACCACTTACATCAGAAAGAAGCATAAAATGCATGTCTAGTCATTTCAAGTTACAGCAAGAGGAATGGACCATGAATTTCTTAATAGTTGGGGAGAGTTAGAGAATAGCAATTTAACTCTGTGACTCGAGCAAATAGTTTGTTTCTCTGTCTCATTTCTTATGCTAATTCTTTGTGTATTTTGGATAGGCCATTTGCACTCTATCTCAGTTCTTTGGACTCTCAGATGAAAACAAGAATTACATTACATCCTGCAAGTGGTTGTTGTAAAACAGTTGTGAAGTGATCTGGCAGACTCAACTTTGAGCAGGGCTTGTTTCACTCAAAGAGAATAAAAACCAGTATGTCAAAAGTGAGAAGAGTCAATCCCCAAATCTGATTTTGTGTTAAGACAAACTGAAATAGTTTTTGTAAGATCTTATATTAACAGGCAATTAATGACCAGCTATCAAGATCCAACTGTTTGTTCAGAATGGCTCCAAATTCACCTCCTCTTGTGGTAATGAAACCACAGCTGTCCTTACCCTCCTTGCTAGATCCTCACCAACAATTCAGTTCAGTGATGTGAGTAGGTCACAGGAGCAATATCTGTACTGAGAAGAGCTCAGTGTCCCAGAACATGTCCCAGGTGAACAGACCGTGTAGGGATCAGTCGTATTCTGAACCCATGAAAATAAACCTGGTGCTCACTGGATGAGCATTACTGGAAGCAGCACTCATCTCTTCACACCTATCTTCATTAGGATGCAACATTGGTTTTCCCAAGCTCTAGCTTACACCTACTTTGGCGAGGTACAAAATAAAGCCCAGATGTTATATTCCAGACTTTATGTTTGGACTAGATGATCTTAGCAGTCTTTTCCAGCTTAAATGATTCTATGATTCTATAACTTCCACAAATTTTACTACTGCTGAGGACACAAGGAGGGCACCAGATGTATTTGGAACATGGGAAGATAGGATATGGGGACTCGTGACTTTGTCCCAGTGTGTCTGATCATCACTTTCTGTACACAGAAAACTGCAGATGTGCCCAGCCAGGCACCCATCATGGAGATCAGACCTCATTCTGCTGCACCAACTGAGATCAGATGCCATCCATTTAGCCAATGTCATTTACAGCCCTCAGAATGCAAAAATACTACATGGATTTTTGTATGTAACTCAAGCACAAAAGTTTGTTCATCAGCATGAATGAAGTTTATACTTATCCTAAATAGCATACTGCATGGAAAAAAAAAAAACAACAAAACATCCCAAATGGTAGAACTCTACTGCCAGTCATACTTTGATAGTTAATGACCTAAACACATATTTTAATGCCGGTTTTTTTTTTTCTCTCTGAAGCAGTCTGCTTCTCTATGATATTAATGCCCAATGAAACATCCAGTTGTCACAGTAGAAGTTTTATTTCAAGCTGCACAACTTTATTCCCCACAGCAAAAATGAAAGAAAATTTAGCTCCCTCCCAGCCACTCACATAGAAAAGATTAATACGAGCTTAATATCACTTTTTTTTTTTTTTTCCCTTGGAGTCCAGGTTCTCACTTAAATCCAAAGGCTCTCAGCATCTTAGAAATCAATATTGTCTCCACCACCCACTGTCCCATCATGTGCACAGTTAACTTCAATGCCTGAGATGGGAAAGAGAGATGATTGCAAGGTCTGAAGCTGATAAGAGACTTCTAAGATTTGCCATCAAAGTTGCAAAGCAATTTTTGGAGTAGCTGCTGCTCGCGGTTGCCTTCCACAAATAAAAAATATAACAGAAAAACAGAGCAGCGCTTTCAGGTTACAGTCACACATTCATTTCACATGGCCACACTTGGAGCTCTCTGGTCTAGAATCACACAGCACACGGACTTTGATGGGACACGAGGTGGGTGCCGCAGCTCAAGTTGCTGTCACGGTCTAAAGAGACTGGGGTATGGGGCAGTCTTATTCTGGGCTCACGCACTGTCCAGGGCTGCAGAGACTGTTAGGCTCTGAAGCCGCAACAATATAAATAATAACAAAGGCTTCCTAACAAATCCCAAAGGCACTTTTAGCATTCTCTCCTCCCGGCTGATGCCACTGAGAGCAGAGGCACAGCCCGGCACGGCACGGCAGCCGTGTGAGCGCAGCAGCTATACGCACCGGCATCCCAGACGGACGCTGGGCACCCTTTGGCACACCGTCTCATTTTCCGTTATGATGTGAGCGAGCGGCTGACAAGGGTACCCGCGGCAAGTGGGAGGAGGGGGCAGGGAAGTCCAGAGCCGCCGCTTTCTGCGGGACCGGAGCTCCGCACACGCACCTCTCTCCACTCTAAGACCGCAAGCGGAGAATCAAACTTTTCGGGCGCGGAACGGAGACGCTCCGCGGAGACGCTGCAGCCCTCCGTCCCCACTTAGCGCACCCACGGGCGACAGAAATGTATCGCCTTCGTGTTGCCGAGTTAGCCCTGCAAGCCACCGCACCCCGAGCCTCCCGCTCCCCGGGGGTCACCTTCTCCCCCGAGCTGGGCCACCCCTCACTCTTTCTCTCCCTCCTTCCGCGGAGCGCACTCACCCGCGGCGCGGCGCGGCCGCCCGGTCGCTCATGCCTGTCCGGCAGCGCGGAGCCGCGGCAGCGCGGGCGCGGAGCAGCGGAGCTCCCCGGGTGGGCGCGGGGTGGGCGCGGGGCGCGGGGGGGTGGGGGGGCGCGGCTCCCGAGCGAGCGGCTGCCGAGCGGAGGGCCCCTACCTGCTGCTGCGGGAGGGCGGAGGGCGCTTGAGACGCTGCCGCCGGAGCCGCGGGTCATTTGCGATCATGTGAATATGCAGATTGGTGCGGGGGGTTAGTGGCCGCTGGCGAAATGAGGGAGCCGGGGCCGAAGGGAACCCGCCGAGATCCCGAGGTGGGGGCTGCTCGGCATGGGGAAAAGCTCAAAGAGCGCTCTGCTTCTTCCAGCTGCACGCTGGGCTCACAGAAATAGACTGCAAGGCACTCTGCAGGCAGAGAACTTCATCCGTCTCTTGTACCTACTGGTACCTCACCAGGTAACCTCACCAGCAACACTATATGTTGCATAACGTGGTGTTCAGCTTGCTCCCCTTTGCAACGTTCAGCAAAGTTTTTCCTACTGTGGGAAAATTAATGGAGGCCAATGTAAAGAACTGATGAAACTATGCTGTGATGCTGCCCCATTGGGTTCTATGGATTTAGTATTTTTCCTATGGAATCATTTGAGTTGGAAGGGACCCTTAAAGGTCATCTCATCCAATTACCCTGCAATGAACAAGGACATCTGCAGCTCAGTCAGGCTGCTCAGAGCCCCATCCAGCCTGACCTTGAGTGTCTCCAAGGACAGGACTTTCACCACCTCTGGGCAACCTGTTCCAGTGCCTCACCATGCTCATTGTGAAAAAGTTCTTCTTTATATCCAATCTAAATCTCCCTTCTAGTTTGAAACCATTTCCCATTGTCCTACCACAGCAGACTCTGCTAAAAGTCCTGTCCTGTCCTCTTCCTTCTTATTGCCACCCTTTAGATACCGAAAGCCTGCTCTCAGGTCTCCCCGGAGCCTTCTCTCCTCCAGGCTGAACAGCCCCAGTGCTCTCAGTCTGTTCTTGTAGAAGAGCTGTTCCATCCCTTGCTACATTTTTGTGGCTCTCCTCTGGGTGCACTCCAATATGTCTGTGTCTCTCTTGAACCCCACATCTGGATGCAGTGTCATCAGCATAGACCAGAGGGGCAGGATCACCTTCCTCACCCTGTTGGCCATGCTTCTTTTGAGGCAGCCCAGGATAGTGTTGGCTTTCTGGGCTGCAAGGGCACACTGCTGGCTCATGTCCAGCTTACCATGCATCAGTACCCCCAAGCCCTTTTGGCAGCCCTTTATGTACCATTGTTACATTCCCCAGCTTGCAAATGATAGTGGAAGTTGCCAGGACCCAGGTGCACTTCTCATCTTGAGAGAAACCCAATGAATCTGCAGCACAAAAATCTGATGAAAAAACAGTCCTTTAGGCAGTAAGACTGAAACAAAGCAACCAAAGTTCCAGGCAGGATTATTTTGTTAGAGAGTGTGTAGAAACTGACACTTGTAGAAGGCAGTCATGAATATGGAACAAAATATCTACAAAAAAAATTTTTTTTCTTTATTTTTTTTTTTTCCAGGTGGTTTTTGACCTTTGGATGCAGTGAAACAATCAGTGCATAACTTATGTGGAAAATGCTATATGGAAAATGTTTTAAGGGATATGTTGTTCAAATGTTAAACCAGTCTGAAACATGCACAGAGAACCTACCACAAACCCATGTGGCAGTAGAAACAGCCAAAATGTATTGTGGCCATCAGGCAGCCTGTTCTGTGCACGCTGTGCTGGTGATCCTTCTGAGCCTTAGAAAAGAGTACAAGAGATGGAGAACCACTTAGGGCACAGAAACCATGGAAAATCATGGAAAATCTTCTGTAGCTTCTGTTGGGATTTTGTAGGTAGTACTTCACACCAGTAAAGAGGAAGTGTAATGTATAGTACTATCAATTCAGGATGCCGTAAACAAATCTGCATGCAAGGCAATAAAGGAGTAATGCTTGTGTGTTAATTGCGTACTAATTGGAGTTCATGGTTCGTAACAAAGTGATCATAAAGTACAGTTGCAGATGTTCCTCTCATGTTTGCCTGCTCTTCCCTTCTTTAAAACATAGTCATATGGATACCAAAAGATATCCCAACGTTAAGACAGAAGAAAAACAGCTGGCTGGATGCTTGGCATTCTTGTTTTCAATCTTTGCTTCATTTGCTTATGTCTTGATCTCAGTCAGGAAGAGAGGGAATCACCAGCACACAACCCCACTCCTTCACTGGCTGCATTCAGTCTCTCAGCCTTTGTACTTCACAGCCCATTACTGTGATTCTAGAAATTCCAAATCATAACAATGACCGACAGGCACAAAAGCCCACTTACAATTCATATACTCACAGACTAAGTTTTGACAGAAGGGCTGTGGGAGGAGCTACCTACAGTATAAGGACATCAGTTGGGAAGTTCCTCTGTGTGTTCTCTTTTCCATCCCTACTGTCTTTTCCCCCTCTCCCAGACATTACTGTACAAGAAGCCACCTTCAGTGCTCTGTTTCACACACATGTGGATTCCCTTGTTTGAATGGGAGGTCTTTTCTCACCTGCATTTGATAAAGGCAGCCTGATCTGATAGGTGGCAACTCTGCCCATGACAGGTGCTGGCATCTGGGCTAGCTTTGAGGTTTCCTCCAGCTCAAGCCATTCTGTGATTCCGTGATTATTTCAGCCTTTTGCACCACAGCTGCTTCTGCCCAATACATCATTTTCTCTGTTACTTCAAAAGGTGCACACAGAGATCTCCATTTTCTCCCCAGTTTTGGAGCTGGCTGTCTCAAATCAGGACAGAGGCTGCTTTCACAGTTTGCCCTGGCAACACACGTGTTCATTGGCACCTTGCAGATTCAGCTCCCATTTGGTTGTTCACAAACAACACTCTCTTAGTAAAACAAATAATTGCTTTTCCTTTCCTTGCAGATAGCACATATCTGCTCTTTGTGGTCTGTGGAGCAGATCAGTGCCACGTGGAGAAGTGGGAACACGAACACCTTCTGTCACAGTTGCCATTCTCATTGCAACAGAGCTTCTGGTCATCAGGCTGCAGCCACAGAAACAGACAAAGGCAATGCTTTGGGCACAAACCTGGAGCAAATCGTGCTGTGCCAGCCCTGATTAAACAGACAGACTTCTCCACTGAGAGCACAGGAGGCAATAAAGCCATCATTTGAGGTGGCATTGAAGCATAGAGGAAAGCAAAACCAGTTTGGGGGTGAATTGGTCATTCTTGGGATTTGGGACCACATAAATTCTCTGTTATAAAACCTGACTTAACTCATTTTGGACCTCTACTCAAGGAGGAGATGTTCCTCCTGCTGCTGTTGACACAGTTAAGGAAATACCTTATAAAAGAACATATATGAAAAATGTAAAAATGGTGTTAATGCTCCATGCCTGTCTGAGGGGGGTGAATATGCAGCACAATCTCACCATGCCTCTGCTTCTCCTTCACTGAACAGCACAGCCAACTTCTTACAGTTGTTTTTAGGGCATCATGAATTAAACATCTCCCTAGGATAGCAAGCCATGGCAAGAAGATGCTGCAACACGTAAGGCACATCCACCTTCTGCACAAAGACTTCCCAGGCAGCTGAAGCGTGCTGGGTCTGGGGTTTCAGTTTAATCTGTTATGGAGGAGAGGGCACTCTGCCAAAGTTGGATAGGAATGTACTAACAGCTAATTCCAGCTAACATAATGCAAGGGAGAGAGGCAGAAAATCTCCCAGGACTGGATTCTGTCATCTTGTTGAACTGCAGTGGGAAGAGTCCCACCACTCTACAGTGAGTTGCATGGAGAGCTGTGGAGCAATGCTGTCAGATCTGCCTTGTGGGCTGGTCAGCTAGGGCTGAGACAGAGAAAACAAATACTGAAACAAAACCAGATGACATAATTTAGAAGCACTGTGTGTTTTCTCAGTGACCATAGTCTTTTTCCACTTGTACCCAGAGGATGAGGGCTGCTGTCTCTAAGCTGCCACTATTAAGCTTTTCAGCTTGCCCTCTTTTCTGTCAACACCTCTTCAGGCTTTCAGTTTTCAAAATTAATGAGATTTACTGGCCGTGTTCTCTTCCCCCACCTTCTCTGAGTGTTCAAATGGGTTGTGCAACCCAAGACTCCTTTGGCTACAGTGGGAGACCAGAGTCTACTCAGTTTTATACCAAACCTGCAATGACAGTGGGCAGCAGGTAACCACAGTGAAAGGTAACCACAGCCAGTCTTAGGAGAACCCCCAGAAGAATTTTCATAAGTACCCAAAGTGATGGAGGGATTTGGCTTCTGTTTTTGTGGTGGCACGGACTCCTGGGAGACCGAATTCCTTTGACCTTCCTTGGCTGCTGTCAACAAGAGACCTTGAAAGCAGGCTGCAAGCCTTTCAGAAATGATTGGCGCTTGCAGAAACGCTCTGACTTTCTGTACTGCCTGGCTGAGAGTTTCATTCTGTTGCCACTAATGAACCACCCACAATTCACCAGCTTATAAGTTTGGGCTAATCTTTGCCTACTAAAAGGATCTTACATAAAACACCACTTACTGAAATATGATCTTTACACATTTCTGAAGTTTCAGTTTTCCTTCAGTGTAATCTTATTACTTAGGTCATTCATTTTGTCACGCCCTGGTATCGGCCTGGTCCAGATTTGACTGTGGGGCTGTGTTCTCCTGACATTTAGACCAAGAATTCCTTGGGAAATAAGTCAAGAGATTTGACATTGCTTCTGGCCTGGCTCCAGAGGGTTTAGTTTTACTCTCCCTCTCTATTTATTGTGGAATCTGTCTGTCCACAGGCTGCACATTGAGTCCTATGCTGGAGAAGGAGAACTGCAAGGGACAAAATGGCCATTCACTCAAGGGATCCATTCAGGCTGCTCATAATGGTTTTACAAGAATTCATGCACTTGGATGACTGCTGAGTTTCCTTAGTCCTGCTCCATTGCCTTCCTCACGAGACAATTTGGACTGACTGCTTTTTCTTTGCTCTCCCCCCCAGCTCAATAGACAGCAACTACGTCTGGAAAAGCAAAACTGTGATCCAGGTAGCATAGGAACAACCTGGAGGCTTTTTGTCTTTAGAAATAGTTTAACTTCAAGATGGCACGGACAAGCTCCTTGCCAAGAATGTGTGAAAATAAAAACCCTTTTTCTCCTCTCCTATCACAAATCGTTGCAAAAAGCTGCATCGATGGCAGATGCAGAACCAGGCAGGGACCGACTGAAGGGGAAGATCAGGAAGGAGCCCCAGGTACTGTATGAAGTCAGCAGTGGGGGAAGCATCCCAACAAAGAGAACTAAAGTGGGAACTAAAGAGACCTAT